CTGTGTGTCTGCCCCCCACGGAGAGGGTTCGCAACTTAGGCGTCCTCTTGGACTCACGGCTGTCTTTAGAAGAACACTTGACGGCTGTGGCCGGGAGGTCTTTTTATCAGGTTCGCCTGATTCGCCAGTTGCGTCCCTTTCTGGATCGGGACTCGTTAAATACGGTCACTCATGCCCTCGTCACTTCACGCCTGGACTACTGTAATGCTCTCTACATGGGGCTCCCCTTGAGGAGCATCCGGAGGCTCCAGCTGGTCCAGAATGTGGCCATGCGGGTAGTTATGGGAGCAGCATGGCGCTCCCATGTGGCTCCCCTCCTGCGCGAGCTGCACTGGCTCCCTGTGGTCTTCCGGGTGCGCTTCAAGGTCTTAGTTACCACCTTTAGAGCGCTCCATGGCTTAGGACCGGGGTACTTACGAGACCGCCTTCTGCCACCAATAGCCTCTCACCGCCCAGTACGCTCCCATAGAGAGGGGCTTCTCAGGGTGCCGTCAGCCAAACAGTGTTGACTGGCGGCCCCCAGGGGGAGAGCCTTCTCTGTGAGGGCACCCACCATCTGGAACGAGCTCCCCCCAGAGATACAGACGATCCCGGATCTGCGCACTTTCCGCCGTGCCCTCAAAACATTCCTGTTTCAGCAGGCCGGCCTGGCCTAACTTTCCCTTTATATTGCTTTTGATTTTGTTTTAAACTGGGATGTCTTGAATTATCTAGGACCAGAGTGTTTAGTATATTTTAATTGGTTTTTTTAACGTTTGTATTACATGTATTTTTATCTTTCGCTGTTCACCGCCCTGAGTCCCTCAGGAATAGGGTGGTATATAAATTTAATAAATAAATAAATAAATACTGGCTGTTAGTCCTGATTTACTCCCTGGACTACTGGGTCTTTTGGTTTACTTAAGATGTTTTGGAGAACTTCAAAGGGTTTGTGCATCTTGGTTGGTTTGTGAGACCTTCTTCCTTACTAAGATAGTCTCTTAAGTGCCCTCTTATATTAGGATTCCTGAAATGATGGTAGGAATTCATCCACAAAATCATTTTGCGGGATGGGCTGATATGTCTTCACCAAAGAGACAATTTCAATCCATGGTTGCAGGCCCAACATACTTCTGATTATGGTCTTGCATCCAGTGGTGATATTCAGCTGGTTCTATCCGGTTCGGGCAAACTGGTAGCAGTGGCTGCGGGAGGCTCCACTCACCCGCCCGGACATCATCACATCCCGTTTTAGATGCTCTGCGCATGCACGGAGCTCACATTTGCAAACTGGTACCTGCTTACATCGGTAATTTATTTATTTTTAAAATTTATAAACTGCCCTTCAAGGTAACTGGAATTCCTTTTTTAAGCCACTTTGTTGGCTTAAGGAAATACCGTATTTTTCGGAGTATAAGACACACCTTCCCCCCCCCAAAAAAGAGGGTAAAAATCTGGGTGCATCTTATTTATTTATTTATTTTTTTCTTTTAATTTGTATACCGCCTTTCTCCAGCAGGACTCAGGGCGGTGAACAGCCAGAATAAAACAGAACATGCAAAATTTAAAAACAGTTTAAAAAATAATTAAATATTTTTGGCCACAATTTAAAACAACCCAATTAAAATCAATTAAATTTAACCGAAACAGTGGGATCAAGCCAGCCCGGCTATACTCCGAATGTAGCCCTGCCCAGCCTCGCAAACGGAGATTTCAGAGGCTGAAAGAAGCCTCTGAAAGAAGCTTCAGAAAAAAAGCCTCAGAAACGAAGCTTCAGAAAAAAAAGAGCCTCCAAAAGGCTTTTATCTTAAATAATATGGCAAGCAACAAAAGAAGAATCAGTAAAGGTTCTAACCAAACTATGCTAACAAATCTGGAGAATGACATCATAACCAACAGATCGGAAGAGGTTAATCTATATACCAATACCAAAGAAAGGAGTACAGATAGTCCTTCAGAATAAAAGCCTTTGAAAGAAGCTTCAGAAAAAAAGGCTTTTTTTTCTGAAGCTCTGTTTCGGAGGCTTTCAGAGGCAGAAAAAAAATGTTTTTTTTCTGAAATGGAGTTTCAGAAGTTTCAAAGGCAGAAAAAAAAAGAGCAAGGCACAGAGCTCACAACCAACAAACCTGTTGCTAAAATTCACCTCTGGAAACAGCTGATTGGGGGTATTCCGGGAGGCCGATCCACCCACCAATCAGCTTTTTGCTTATTTTCCTCCCCAAAAAGTAAGGTGCGTCTTATACTCCGGTGCATCTTATACTCCGAAAAATATGGTAGCTCATTAGATTTGCCTTTCCACTGGCTTATTGGCTTTTTGTCATTTGATATAATAACCTTTGCACCTAGTTTTCTTGACATACAGCTTGGAGGTGGACATTTCTTTCAAAACAAGGACAAAGTTAGTTTCATCCTTTGACAACATTGGAAAAAAAAAAATCACCACCCCAAAATGCTTATCACTTCAAAGCCAACAGCATCGATATTCCGTACTGTAACTCTCCATTGTTCTACAACAGAGCCTGCGATGTAGAGGATTAAATTTTTAGAAACAAATCGCAAATATTTACATTCTTTTGAATATACAAATGAAACCAAAAGGTTGATCGTGTTCAAGCTTGAAGCTTTAGTAAGCCTTTTTATAACATCCTCTCTCATTTTAGTCTTCAGAACTTCAACTTTTGACCTGGAAAATTTAGGGCTTAAAATGAGCTCTTTGTAGATAGTTAGAATTGAAATATTTCTAAAAGGTAATATACTGTTAGTTTTGGATCAAAGATGTAACTCGTGCCAGTGTTTCATTCTTTGATATTTTATTCCACAGGAACTGTGTTTCTTTATTTCTGCTTAAACAAGTATTTATTTAAGGAAGGGTTGTGAGCTATATGAATTTGCTTCCTCCCTCGTACTGGAGACAGACGTAGCTTTTTAGAACAGTAGAGTTTATTATTCATTTATTTTGACCGACTGCATTTGAACGACATCTAGCAAAAATAAGGATTAAAAAATCGTGGAAAACAACAGAAAAAGCATAAAACAACATCAGTCCTCATAGCTCAAGGCAACAATACAAGAAATACTCTTTTCCCAGAACCAGGTTGTCATTTCTCTCTTGTGTATTTGTGAGATAAATTGCGGTTTGTATTTGTGGAAGCAAATTAACTCTTTGGGTGTAACAATTGCCTTTTTTGTTGTTGTTGGTTATTGTTTTTAAAAGATCACCTAGTCTGGTTCTTGTAATCCAAGTATTTTTTTAAATTTGTTTATCAAAGTATAAAATACAGGAATACAAAGAAAAATGAAAATAAAGGAAAAACAGAGGAGGAAAGGGGGAAGAGGGAAAAGTGTAGGGGAAAGGGGGAAAGGAGAAGAAAACTATTGACTCCTTTTGGCACAGTAGAATAAGGTAATAACATAGAACCAGGAGTGGGCTTCAAAAATTTTAGCAAGGGGTTCTCTGCCTGGTTGCTGGGTGGGCATGGCCATGGAAAATCATAAGTAAGTAGTAGGAAAATCATAAACAAACTTTATTCGAACAGCTGAGAATTACTTCATTCCCAGCGTCGTTCAACTAAATTAAAGCAAATTCCTCCCAACACAAATTCCTCAGTCCTATCGCAAACCTTAGTCTTATTAGGCAAACTGCCAAAGGCCTTTCTTGGCAAATGTTCAGAAGTCACAGATACAAAAATAAATACAAGACGTAGACAAAGAAGAAGACGAAGCTACCAACGTTGTTTTCTGGCAAAGCCCAAAAGCTGTTGCTGGTCTGTTTTAAGCCTTATGGGAGGGGCCAATCATTTCTTGGCCCTACTCCCGAGTTGGCCTCTTTGCTTGAGCTGCTCTTGCCTTCTGGCAGCTCTTCTCATGCGTGCATTAGGAACAGGTTCCTCCTGTTCCTCTGCCTCACTCCTATCAGTCTCTGGAGGCTCTGAAGGCTGCACCTCACTCTCCGATGGCCCTGGCCCCATCTCTGCCTCTGACGCAGAGCCCTCATCTGGGCCTTCCCCAGCCTCCAGGACTGGCCCATGTTCTTCCTCAGCCTCATTGCTGTCTGACTCCGCTGCCAGCTCCACAGGCTGCTGGTGGACCACAACAGGTTGGGGTGGCCTAGTTGGCTGTCTGTACCATGGTGGGGGGGCATTTTTTCCCTCCCTGGGTTCCAGAGGCTTTCTTTGGGCCTCCGGGAGGGCGAAAATGGCCTCCCCAGGCTCCAGAGGCCCTCTGGGGCCAGAAATGGGCCCGTTTCTGGCTTTTCCGAGCTTCCGGTAGACCAGTTTTTGGCCCTCCCTGAGACTCCACGTGGGCCCTGCACTTACCCGCATCCAAAACATGCCACATGGGGACTCCTTGGAGGGGCGGGGTGGGGGCAGGGTGGGCGGGGCCAGCCAGGAATGGGATTTGGGGATTCTCCAAACTGCACAGAATCTTAACTAGAGGTTCTCCCGAACCCTTGCGAACCCCCAGCAGCCCATCCCTGCACACAACATTTTTTGATAATAATATATACTGACCATTTCTAACCCTAACCCAAACCCATCTAATCAATTAAAACACAAAATCAAAGTTTCATTTTTTCTCCCCCATCTCAAGCACAAAGTCCAAAAGCGGTTTCCAAATAGAAGCAAAATTAATTGTATTTCTTTTTTCTTAAACCAAAGCAGTGAATTTAATCACCCCTGTTAACTCCATCAACTTTGGCAACCATTCGGGCCGTTTTCGGGCCAAAAATGGATCCAAGAAAGGGCCCTGAAAATGACCGACAGAGTGCTGCAGAGGCCATGGAGGGTGAAAACGAGGCACAGGGCGGCCACACGCATACCCCTCCGTGCCCTGTTTTGGCCGGCAGGGTGCTGAAGGAGGCATCCGTCTCACCCACCCCGCTGCTCCCCCTCCTGCCAGCCCATAGAGAACTACAATGCTGATCCGGCCCTCGAAGAAATCCAGTTTGACATTCCTGCCTTCCTCCCCTGTTTCAGTCAATTATGGACTGTGGTGATTCCAGTTTTTTTTCCTTTCTGCAGGACTTCATTCAAAACTGCCAGCTGCTAAGAACTTCCTCGGTCTTCTCTAAATGTCATCATCTGGTGGACCCCGAAAAGTTCATCGGCCTCTGTGAAGAAGATATGTGCCGGTGTGCTCAGGACAGTAATTGTCACTGCCCAGTTTTTCTGGAGTATGCTAGAAACTGTGCCCAGCAAGGTGTGATCTTGAAAGGTTGGCCAGCTAGCAGTGCCTGCAGTAAGTTTTCGGGATTAATATTCTTGGGGTGATGGGCTTCCAATTCTAGATTCAACGTTGCAAAGTTCTCCCTATGCTTATATCAGAGTTTGCAGTAGAAATCAAATCCAGAAAGCACACAAAGGTAAACTGATTCAGCAGGATTCATTAACAGTTACAAGCAAAACACAAGGTAGGAAAGAACAGTTAGTTTCATTTCAGCAGAGCAGACTAGTTTCAGTTTCTCTGCACAGACTCAGAAGCTGCAGGATTAAGCTACGCCCAGACTTCTTACTTAAGTTTCTGTTTCCAAAACAGCCCTCATTGGCTATGGGGCAAGGATTGTGAGCTATTAGTGCATTATTGCAGAATCCTGGCTTTCCCAGGTATAAAAATCTAATAAAATAAATAAAATAAATGTGTAAGGAATGTTTTTCACTTAACAACCGGGTTACTAAATTAACAGCTGCAATGATTCACTTAACAACTGCAGCAAGAAAGGTCATAACATTGGGTGAGACTCACTTAACAAATGTCTCACTTAGCAACAGAAATTTTGGGCTGAAGGGTTGTCGTAAGTCGAGGTCATCTATCTAAAAAAAATGACACACAATTTGGTACGTCAGCTCAGGCTCAGGCAAATCCTGCATCAAATTCACTTTGGGCCTTTGTCGCAAGGGCGGAACTAAAAGGGACCTTAGAGGTCTTCTAGTCCAGCCCCCCTGCTCAAGCAGGAGACCCTGTACCATTTCAGATGGTTGTCCAGTCTCTTCTTCAACACCTCCAGCGAAGAAGCAACTTCTTTAGCACCTCACAACTTCTGGTGGCAAGCTCTTCCACTGATTAATTGTCCTCACTGTTGGGAAGTTTCTCCTTAATTTCAGGTTGATGATGATCGCAAGGTTCATTTCTTCCCTGTTACACCTTTTCAGGACCAAGATGTCCAAGTGGCTTGGAGTACCACGAGTGCACGTCCCCTTGTGCCAAGACCTGCCAGAGCCTGAATATCAATGAAGTGTGCCCGGAGCAGTGCGTTGATGGTTGCAGCTGTCCCGGTAAATCTATTTACAAGCTTTTGTGTACAGCAGAAATCTTTGGGCCTCAGTGTTTCCCATTTTACTCGTTTAAGAGAAGGAAACGACTGTCCCTTTTGAACGTTTACAAGTATTTATTTATCCCCCTGCATGTACGTTCTCTCAAAGGGCTACGCTTTAATTTAAAAAATTAAAGGTGTTGGTGACCACCTTTAAAGCGCTCCATGGCTTAGGGCCAGGGTATTTGTGAGACTGCCTTCTGCCGCCAATAGCCTCCCACCGACCGGTTCGCTCGCACAGAGAGGGCCTCCTCAGGGTGCCGTCAGCCAGACAGTGCCGGCTGGAAACCCCCAGGGGGAGAGCCTTTTCTGTGGCAGCACCTGCCCTCTGGAATGACCTGCCCCCTGAGATACGCACGATATCAGACCTCCGGACTTTTTGTCGGGCCCTGAAAACACACTTATTCCATCTAGCCGGCCTGGCCTGATCCCATCCTCTCAGTTTTTAATTGAATTCGGTTTTAATTGGGTTGTTTTAAACTTGGGCCAAAATTATTTAATTGTTTTTTAAAGTGTTTTTTAAATTTTATATGCTATGTTTTATCTTGGCTGTATACCGCCCTGAGTCCCGCAGGAGAAGGGAGGTATAGAAATAAAATAAAATAAAATAAATAAATAAAATAAAATAAAAAGTGGGAGAGAAATAGGGCAGTGATGGCTAACCTTTTTCTCGTCGTGTGCCGAAAGCACACGCACCCATAATGCAATGTGCCCCCCCTGCGTATGTGTGCATGACCCCCCCGCTCCTCCCACCATCGCGCACATGCATGCATGACCCCCCACCCCCCCATGCATGTGTCTGCGGACCCCCCCTGTTTTTGGCCTAGCAGGCCTCCCTGGATGTGGGGGGGGGTGGCTTTCAATTGTTCGAGGGCCGGGGGGGGGGCTGTGTCACATGGACACCTCTGCTGAGTTAGAAAAAACAGGCCTGGTGGCTACAGGCACTAAGTGCATGGCACAGTATTTGCTCTGAGGCGTTTTGGCACCATCCAAGCTTCCCCGTGACCTGGGATGAACTGAATGCATGGATGAGAGTGAAATCTATGGGCCTGTCGTTATGCAGCCAAGGAGAAGCCGCCCGGGGGGGCAGGCAAGCCCCTGCGTTTCACAGAATTCACACTCCCTCCCCAAAAATCTAAAAATGACTTTCCATAGTTTTTATGTTGTGGCTTTATGTCCTAAACTACAGTGAGGAAGTGGGGGTGGGGGTGAGTTTTTGTGCCTTGGAGGACACAGGCACGTCCATCGGAGTCGGTTCCTGGACTTGTCTTTTTAGATAGGCTTGGGCTGGTTTTGCAAAATATAGTTAGTCTGCAGAACTGAAATTGAAACCAATCTTCTTTCCTTCCTTCCTTCCTTCCTTCCTTCCTTCCTTCCTTCCTTCCTTCCTCCCTCCCTCCCTCCCTCCCTCCCTCCCTCCCTCCCTCCTGCCTTTTTCTCTTCTCTTCTTTCTTTCTTTCTTTCTTTCTTTCTTTCTTTCTTTCTTTCTTTCTTTCTTTCTTTCCTTCCCTCCCTCCCTCTCTCCCTCCCTCCATTCTTCCTTCCTTCCTCCCTCCCTGCCATCTTTTTCTTTCTTTCTTTCTCTCTCCCTCTCTTCTTCCCTCCCTCCCTTCCTCCCTCCATCCATCCTTCCTCCCTCCCTCCCTCCCTCCCTCCCTTCTTCCTTCCTTCCTCTCTCCCTCCCTCCCACCTTCTTCTCTTCTCTTCTTTCTTTCTTTCCCTCCCTCCCTCCATTCTTCCTTCCTTCCTCCCTCCCTGCCATCTTTTTCTCTTTCTTTCTCTCTCCCTCTCTGCTTCCCTCCCTCCCTCCCTCCATCCTTCCTCCCTCCCTTCTTCCTTCCTTCCTTTCTCCCTCCCTCCCACCTTCTTCTCTTCTTTCTTTCTTTCTTTCTCTCCCCCTTCTTCCTTCCTTCCTTTCATCTTTCCTTCCTCTGACCCTCCCTCCTCCTCTTCTCTCTCTCTCTCTCTCTCTCTCTCTCTCTTTCTCTCTCTTTCTTTTCCAGAGGGAAAGCTCCTAGATGGTGACGTTTGTGTCGATGCCCGAAATTGCTCCTGCATAAATTCTGGCAAGAAATTCCCTCCTGGCTCTTCAGTTTATCAGGACTGCAACTCATGGTAAGCATGATCCTTGGATGGAATATGAAGAGGACCCTAAACCATAAGGCAAGACCAAATCAGGGACCTTCCAGTTCAGTGTGCCTGGGCAATATGGTGCAGGGGCAGGAGAGTGACCGCGCTCCAGATCTGCTCTTAACCATCTGGCACTTTAAGTATCTCACTATGGAACCAGAATGCCACAATTTCAGAAATAAGAGAGAGGTTAGCAAAGATGTTTGAAAACGTATCAGCTAAATGTTGGAAGTGTAATCAGATGCCAGGTTCATATTATCATATGTGGTGGACATGCCCAAAGGCAACAAAATATTGGACTAAAATACATACTTGGTTAGAAAAAATGATAAAACAACACATAGATATGTTTTTAAAGAAAAAAAATGTACCAATAAAGCATATATTCAGAAAGAAAGAAAGAAAGAAAGAAGAAAGAAAAGAAAGAAAGAAAGAAAGAGAAAGAAAGAAAGAAAGAAAGGAAGGAAGGAAGGAAGGAAGGAAGGAAGAAAGAAAGAAAGAAAGAAAGAAAGAAAGAAAGAAAGAAAGAAAGAAAGAAGAAAGAAGGGCTACCTGTCCATTCATCTATTTCATTATTTCTCAACCTTGTCAAATTGAAGACATCTGGACTTGCCAAGGTTGAGAAACAAGGATCTATTTCATCCCCTTTTTTCAAACTACGCAAGTGAAAAATTCACCTTTTCTTTCTTCCTACAACGAAAACACACATTGTGTGCAACGCCTTGCACGCAAACAGGAATGGCATCACCGTGGCCCTGGTGTCATCATGCAAATGGCATCATTCACCCCCTTTGCAAGTGACACCGTGCCACATATGACCTCCCATTGCGTGACTCGCAATGGACACGACTGACAGTTGCTTCTCGTCTACTACTTCCCTTTGCTGTGAGCTGCAAGAGGAGAGGGAAATGTCTTCCTATTGCAGAACTGGGAAGGGGTGAGAAGAGGAGGCGGGCTGGGTGAGAGTTTCTGGACTATCTGATTGGTCAGCTGGAGGGAAAGGCGGGGCGATATGAATAGCTCTTTGTCCGCTTGCATTTTTAGGGTTGGCAGGAATCACAGCCATTGTGGATTGCCAAGGCATGGAGAATAAGGAGTGGGAGTGGGGGTGTTGAGTTGGTGATGTGAAATGCCCATGATTTAGAAAGACAGGGTTTCTTGTCTGTCGTGGATCATTGCCTTCTCTGAGCCTGGTTGTTTTTCCTGCCAGGGTTAGGTGGCACCATTCGTGCAGAAGAGAAGGCTGTTTATCCATTGTAGCTTGCCCTGACAGTCTCGGGATTTTGATTGGGATGGGGTTTCTTCCTTAAATAGTTCCTCATTAAAACATTGGGTTTTTTTTCCCCCTGATTGTTTAATTGGTGCTGTAATGAAATGCAGATAATTGAAATCAGTGTAATGCAAACATACAACGGTTAAGGCAATGCAACGCAATGCAATTGAATGCAATGCAACACAATGCAATTGAATGCAATGCAGCTGAATCAGAGGTGCTATTCAGCAGGTTCTGGAGAACCGGTAGGAGAAATTTTGACTAGTTCAGAGAATCGGCAGATACCACTTCTGGCTGGCCCCAGAGTGGGGTGGGAATGGAGATTTTGCAATATCCTTCCCCTGAAGTGGGGAGAGAATGGAGATTTTGCAATATCCTTCCCCTGGAGTGGGGAGAGAATGGAGATTTTGCAGTATCCTTCCCATGGAGTGGGGAGGGAATGGAGATTTTGCAATATCCTTCTCCTGGAGTGGAGAGGGAATGGAGATTTTGCAGTATCCTTTCCCCAGGAGTGGGGAGGGAATGGAGATTTTGCAGTATCCTTCCCCTGGAGTGGGGAGGGAATGGAGATTTTGCAATATCCTTCTCCTGGAGTGGGGAGAGAATGGAGATTTTGCAGTATCCTTCCCCCAGGAATGGGGAAGGAATGGAGATTTTGCAATATCCTTCCTCTGCCATGGCCACCAAGCCATGGCCACCAAGCCACACCATGCCCACCAAGACACGCCTACAGAACCCCTAGTAAAAAAATTTGAATTCCACCACTGAGCTGAATGCAATGCAATGCAACACAATGCAATGCAATACAGTGCAAATAAATAACAGGGAGAAGTTATTAATTAAACATGTCCAACTTTTCATTTCATTTTAGTAGCTGGTTTTGGAGAGGACTTTTCCCAACCCCTCTATTCTGTACAAGCCCTGGACCAGACAGTGAGGCCAGTGCTACGCTTAGAGCATCTTACAGGGATTAGGAAAGTGGCCTCCTTCAGAAGCATGTCAATATTCTTTCCCGAGAAAGAGAACGAGGCCAAAACCAAACCATCTTTTTGATCTGTGAAACTTAAAGCACTGAAATGTAACTAACAACCAACAGGAGGCTTATTGTGTTCTGTCCCCGTCCCCACACACACACAAACAGTCAGCCGGGGGTTAAAGAAGTACTTGGCACACACAAGGTTCGTTATCAGGAACTTGGCAGCAATACGATAACCGTCCGCCAAGTGCTTTACTACAAGAAGAGGGAGTGTTCCTCCACCAGATAACACCAACTAATACACACAGTTTTCAAAACAGTCCAGCTCAAACATGAAACCTTCAGCAGATCAAGCGTTGTACAAAGTGACTAGCCAGAAGTTAGCTTTGTCCGTCACAGAGTCTAAATGGCCACCACACTCTCTTATATAGCCTGTAGGGTGTGGTCCAGTGACTCAGCTTAATCCCTGGCACGCCTCCTCATCTGCTGCAAACGTTTGTCTCGCCTTCGTTGGCGTGGATCCAGGAACGACTTACCCCCCTCATCGCTGTCATCGGAGACACCTGGCTCCTGGTCAATCTCCTCTCCCTTGGCAGACACCTGAGGCATTGCCAGAGAGGAAGGGCCTGGAGAGGGAGGCCTGGCCGGCTCCTCTCCTTCATGTTCGGAGCCTTCTTCCTCTGATAAGGTGGGCTCGGGGATCGGAGCCACAACATATTGTATTGTAGAAAGTTAGCATCCACCCGTTTCCAAACATGAATGTAAATCTCATGACCGTGGGGATGCTGAAAAGGTCGTAAGTGTGAAAAAACTTATGACCACTTACGCACACTTACGACTTATGTAAGTCGTAAGTGTGAAAAACGGTCCTAAGTCACTTTTTTTTCAGTGCTGTTGTAGCTTTGAACGGTCACTAAATGAACTGTGGAGGACTACCTGCAATTGAGACCTGTTAATGCGTATTTAAGTTTTATAGTAGGAACGTGATTCGCTGTAGCCTTATTCCTAACGGAGAAATGTTTTATTTCCTAGTATTTGCAGGCATGGTGCGTGGGTCTGCAACAATCAGCCCTGTCCAGGTACGTTGGTTCTGGAACATTCAGTGAGTGAAGTGTTGTTTATTTCTATTATATATATGGATGATGCATTCAGTCGTTTGTTTTTCTCCTGTTTTCATAGACAAGATAGCAATAGCAATAGCAATAAGCACTCAGACTTATATACTGCTTCACAGTGCTTTACAGCCCTCTCTACGTGGTTTACAGAGTCAGCCTATGGCCCCCAACGATCTGGGTCCTCATTTTACCAACCTCGGAAGGACAGAAGGCTGAGCCAAACTTGAGCCGGTCAGAATTGAACTGCTGGCAGTGGGCAGAATTAGCCTGCAGTACCGCGTTCTGACCACTGCGCCACCAGGAAGGAAAATGAGAAAGGGAATAAGGGGGGAGGGAGGGAGGGAGGGAGAAGGAAGGAAGGAAGGGAAGGAAGGAAGGAAGGAAGGAAGGAAGGAATAGCAATAGCACTTAGACTTATATACTGCTTCACAGTGCTTTACTGCCCTCTCTAAGCAGTTTACAGAGTCAGCCTATTGCCCCCAACAATACCGACCTCGGAAGGACGGAAGGCTGAGTCAACCTTGAGCTGGTCAGAATTGAAACTCCAGGCTGTGGACAGAGTCAGCCTGCAATACTGCATTCTAACCACTGGGCCACCAGGAAAGAAAATGAGAAGAAGGAAGAAGGGAGGGAGGGAGGAGGGAGGGAGGGAGGAAGGAATAGCAATAGCACTTAGACTTATATACTGCTTCACAGTGCTTTACTGCCCTCTCTAAGCAGTTTACAGAGTCAGCCTATTGCCCCCAACAATCTGGGTCCTTCATTTTACCAACCTCGGAAGGACAGAAGGCTGAGTCAACCTTGAGCTGGTCAGAATTGAAGTCCAGGCTGTGGACAGAGTCAGCCTGCAATACTGCATTCTAACCACTGGGCCACCAGGAAAGAAAATGAGAAAGAAGGAAGAAGGGAGGGAAGGGAGGGAGGGAGGGAGGGAGGAAGGAATAGCAATAGCACTTAGACTTATATACTGCTTCACAGTGCTTTACTGCCCTCTCTAAGCAGTTTACAGAGTCAGCCTATTGCCCCCAACAATACCGACCTCGGAAGGACGGAAGGCTGAGTCAACCTTGAGCGGTCAGAATTGAACTCCAGGCTGTGGACAGAGTCAGCCTGCAATACTGCATTCTAACCACTGGGCCACCGGGAATAGGGAATGAGAAAGGGAAAAAGGGAGGAAGGAGGGGAGGGTCCAACATTTCTCTCAAGCATGAAATCTGGCCAGGAGATCTTCTGTTACCTCCAAAATCAATCACGGAGGAGTTTCATATTCCCGGTGATTGACTGGTGTTAAGAAAGACAATTCTTAGCCCAGAACTGCTACTAACATAGATTCCTGGTTTGATAGCAACCTCAAAAGGAGAGATGAACTCATAGCTTCTCTTCCTCTCCAAGAGGTTTCTTCTAATTTCCATTCAGACCACAGACAGGGATGGGAAATATCCCTTTCCTATCTGGCAGCAGATACGGAATTGCTACCGCAGAGGAATTGTGGCACAGTGAAAACAAGCAAAGACACAGACACAGAAACACACACGGAGAGAGGTGGGCTTCACATACTGTAGCAACCGGTTCACCCAGCACCGGAAATGTGCGCACACGCCGTCCGCGCATGTGTGTGATGTCAAACAACACGGCAATTCGCTCACGTGTGCCATCCACACATGCGTAAGATGTCAAAAACACAGCGATATAGGATGGGATTGCGCCAGGGCGGGTGAGAGGAGGCAGGTACACCCGCAGGTCACAACTACTGGTTCTCCCGAACCGGCTGAATCCCCAGTCTGCACAGACACCAAAAGCAGAAAGGATTTTGTTTGGCAGAAGGGTGAGAATTCTCCCAGTTTGTTTACGGAATTTACAAAGGCTTCACCTCAAAGAGTTAAGAGATGTTCTCAGCGAATCAAATGAACAGAAACTGGAAGAAAACATTGCGGCCAACTAAATGAAAAAAACAAACAAACAAACCGGGCACTCCTTCCCTATCCTCCACCCCACCCCACCCCATATCATCTGGCAGAATTGTTTGCGGCGAAATTAATGGCTGCCTTTGAAGCAAAAGCTGAACATTTAGTGAAAGTCTGAAAGGCTCCTTAGAGTATTGTCTCGCCATCCGTTCCTTCTGGGTTCGAGCCTTTCGTCCGAAATACACATTACTTTAGGAACATTGGGTCTGATTTCCAGGCACTCCTTTTTCAAGGAACCACAGACGATTAGAGCCGTAAAATGAACCTAATCTTAATCAACCAGTGAAATGGCTTGCTTTCGGAAGTTTTCGTAGGTTTTCCAGCACTGAAGATTTTAAAGAAGGGACAGGACAGCTGTTTGTCTGAAAAGGAAGAGGGTCTCCTGCTTGAGCGGTGGGTTGGACTAGAAGACCTCCAAGGGTCCCTTCCAACCCTGTTGTTCTGTTAAAACTCTTCAAGAGATACAGTTTAGCATCACCAGGGTGTTTTGGGGACCGCTTTTTGGTGATTTTATTCATGAAGCAAACTTGTTGGATCTAAATCATCAGAAACTCAAGTGAACTGCAGTAGTGTCTTTCTTTCTTTCTTTCTTTCTTTCTTTCTTTCTTTCTTTCTTTCTTTCTTTCTTCCTTCCTTCCTTCCTTCCTTCCTTCCTTATTTTCTTTCTCTTTCTTTCTTTCTTTCTTTCTTTCTTTCTTTCTTTCTTTCTTTCTTTCTTTCTTTCTTTCTCTCTCTCTCTCTCTCTCTCTCCCTTCTTCCTTCCTTCCTTCCTTCCATCTTTCCTTCCTCTGTCCCTCCCTCCTCCCCTTCTCTCTCTCTCTCTCTCTTACTCTCTCTCTCTCTCTCTTCTTTCTTTTTAAGAAGAGACTGGACAGCCACTTGTCTGGAATAGTATAGGGCCGTGATGGCGAATCTATGGCACGCATGCCACAGGTGCCACGCGTAGCCATATTGGTGGGCACGTAAGCTCAGCTCCTGGAGGCTGGAGAGAGCAAAAAACAGGCCTTCTGGTCTCACCGGAGGTTGGCAAACATCCCATTTCTGGCCTCCAGGGGGGGTGGGGAATGCCATTTTTGCCCTCCCCAGACTCCTAGAAAGGCTCTGGAGGGTGGGAAGAGCAAAAAACAGGCCTCTGTGCCAGGAGCGGGGGAAGGGGGGGGTCATGTGCATGCGTGGGGTAGGGCGCATAGAATTATGAGTGTGGGCTAACCCGCCCCCCCTGGTCCTGGTACGTGATGGCAAAAAGGTTAGCCATCACTGGTATAGGGGGTTGGATTAGAAGACCTCCAAGGTGTCTTCTAACTGTTACTCTTTCTTTCTTTCTTTCTTTCTTTCTTTCTTTCTTTCTTTCTTTCTCAAAGAGGTCTCTTCTAATTTCCATTCAGCCCACAGACAGGGATGGGGAATATCCCTTTCCTATCTGGAAGCAGATACGGAATCCCCAGAGGAATTGTGGCACAGTGAAAACAAGCAAAGACACAGACACAGAAACACACATACAGAGAGAGAGAGGTGGGCTTCACATACTGTAGCAACCGGTTCGCCCAGCACCGGAAATGTGCGCGCACACCATCCGCGCATGTGTGTGATGTCAAACAACACGGCAATTCGTTCACGTGCGCCATCCACACATGTGTAAGATGTCAAAAACACAGCGATATAGGATGGGATTGCGCCAGGGCGGGTGAGAGGAGGCAGGTCCACCCGCAGGTCACAACTACTGGTTCTCCCGAACCGGCTGAATCCCCAGTCTGCACACACACACCAAAAGCTCTCTCACTCTTTCTTTCTTTCTTTCTTTCTTTTAAATTTATTTATTTTACTGGAAGTTTTTAAGAAGAGACTGGATAGCCACTTGTCTGGAATAGTATAGGGGGGTTGGATTAGATCTCTTCTAACTGGTTTTTCCTTCCTTCCTTCTCTTCCTTCCTTCCTTCCTTCCTTCCTTCCTTCCTTCCTTCCTTCCTTGTTTATTTGAATGTATTTGTCATCAATCTCACTGTTACAATATCCTAAAAACAAGGGTATTAAAGCATTAAAAATGAACAAAAATTGAGGAAACTAGGAACCAGTAGACAAATGGGGTGGAGGTGGGATTTCCTTCTGAATCCACTATCTCCAGCGTGAAACACCCCCATCGGGACCCCCAACCAATCAGCGAAGTCAGGTTCTGAGGCCCTTTCAGGCTAATCATAGTCTAATGAGATATCATTAGAAGACGTTCTCTTTCTCAGAAGATTACCTTTATGGGTTTGCCATAAATCTTAACAAAACTATGGCTATTGTATTATTATTATTATTATTATTATTATTATTATTATTATTATTATTATTTATTGGATTTGGGGAAATAATGAAGTATTAAACATTCATCAAATGGCCACTTCATGGTTTTAACCTACTGCTAAATAACTTTTGCTCATATCTTTGAAGTAACAAATGGAAAATGTTGGTTTCTGTAAGTTGGTGACCTATTCATATCAAACAACGCATAGAAGAACTCTTTTAACATTGATATACTACATGTTGTCAGAATATCTACCAGTGTTTTCCCAATTTCCAGTGTGTGGACCAGGGTGAAATCCAGCAGGTTCTAACAGGTTCTGGAGAACCGGTAGCGGAAATTTTGAGTAGTACAGAGAACCGGCAAATACCACCTCTGGCTGGCCCCAGAGTGGGGTGGGAATGGAGATTTTGCAATATCCTTCCCCCAGGAGGGGAGGGAATGGAGATTTTTCAGTATCCTTCCCCTGGAGCGGGGTGGGAATGGAGATTTTGCAATATCCTTCCCCTGCCACGCCCACTAAGCTACGCCCACAGAACCGGTAGGGAAAAAATTTGGATTTCACCACCGATGTAGACTTCAACTCCCAGAATTCTCATCAATGGTTAGGCTGGCTGTAATTCTGAGAGTTGAAGTCCACATTTTTGGAAATTTCCAAGGTTGGGAAACATTGATCCGGAGGAACTTTCCTATGTGGGAATTGAAAAACAAAGAATGTAGACGATTTGATTTAATTAGAGACTTTGGTGCAGAGGTGGGTTGCACGTTTTATTACCCCTGGTTCATCATGTGCACGCCTTCTGGGCATACATCCAGGCTCAAAAATGTGGCTAAATAGGACCATATTACTCCAGGGCAGATGGACGGTGCCAGGAGCCCACCTGCAGTCGCCGCTACCAGTTCGCTTGAACTTGTGCGAACCGGCTGAATACCACCACTGCTTTGGTGTATAATCACTTTATGCTGTCAAGCACTGAGGGTGCCATTGTTTAGAAACAGACAGCGGTGAGAATTTGAGGATCTTTTAAGCTAAAAAAAAAAATGAAGCAAAGGTAGATATTTATTTATTTATTTGTTCAATTTATACGACTCCCTATCTCCTGATTCTGGGCAGCCCACAAATTTACAACAATGAAAGCAATCCAAATAATGACTGGAACGAACAGTTCCAATGTAGAGTAAAAACAACATTAGTTGGCGGAGGTTTGCTTAACCCCCTTGCTCGAACACATTTGTCAATAGCAGCTAAGAAACCTTGAAGAGGGAAGGGTCAGATTGAACAAAGAAAGAACACTAATTAAAAACCAACCCCAAAGAATTCAAACCTACTTGGAAGGCAGCCAAAAGCTCTCGTGAATTGAAGTAAAGGTGAAAGAAACTGTGATCGCGAAAAGTCATTTGTGACCCCTTAATAAGGCTTTACTAGAGTTCTCTGAAAATTCTTTCAGTTTATTTATCTACCCGAATATGCCTGGAGGGAGTGGACTTTAATAAGGGAAAATATAGACGTCTTTTAGTCCAACCCTCTTCTAAAGCAGGAGACCCTAGACCGGAGTGAAATAGTCCCGCCTGGACTATTGTAACGCTCTCTACATGGGGCTCCCCTTGGGAGCACCCGGAGGCTCCAACTGGCGCAGAGTGCGGCCGCGCGGGTGGTAATGGGAGCGACATGGCGCTCCCATGTGACACCCCTCCTGCGCGAGCTGCACTGGCTCCCGGTGGTCTTCCGGTGCGCTTCAAAGTTTTGGTTACCACCTTTAAAGCGCTCCATGGCTCAGGACCTGGGTACTTGCGGGACCACCTACTACCACCAATAGCCTCCCACCGGCCGGTATGCTCCCATAGAGAGGGGCTCCTCCGGGTGCTGTTGGCCAAACTATGCCGACTGGCGGCCCCCAGGGGGAGAGCCTTCTCTGTGGGGCACCTACTATCTGGAACGGGCTCCCCCCGGAGATACGGAGGATCCCGGATTTGCGCGCCTTCCACCGCGCTCTAAAGACCTTTCTATTTCACCAGGCGGGCCTAGTCTAATTTTCTCCCTCTTTTATAAAAGAATTTAAATTTTAAATTTTTAGTATTAGATATTCAAATTTTATAATTGGTTTTAAATTGATTGGGTTTTAATTGTCTGGGCCAAAACTATTTAATTTGGTTTTAATTCTGCTTTTTAAATTTTGTATGTATGTATTTTATTGTTGGCTGTGCACCGCCCTGAGTCCTTTGGGAGTAGGGCGGTGTAGAAATCAAATAAAAGTGAAAGTGAAAGTGAAAGTGAAAGTGAAATGCTCCTGGTTCAGACCGGATCACCCGATCTGGTAGCGATGGCGGCAGGTGATTCTGAGCAAAAATCCCTGGCCTCCCCCACCCACATGCCCAGCTGAGCCGCACAATCAACAGAGGCTTTTTTTTTTTTACTTTTAAAAGCATTTTTTTTGGCCGAAAAAATGCTTTTAAAAGTAAAAAAAAAAAAAAAGCCTCTGAGGATCGCGCGTCTCAGCTGGGATCGTCAGAGCCTTTTAAAAGCATTTTTTTAAATAACCACTTTGGTGGAAGAGGTTGTAAAAAAAATAGTTTTAAAAGGCTCTGACGATCCCAGCTGAGTTGCCTGAGTTGCCTGATTCAGCAGATTTGACAGGTTCTGGAGAACCGGTAGTGGAAATTTTGAGAAGTTCGGAAATCAGCAAATGCCACCTCTGGCTGGCCCCAGAATGGGGTGGGAATGGAGATTTTGCAGTATCCTTCCCCTGGAGTGGGGAGGAAATGGAGAGTTTGTAATATCCTTCCCCTGGAATGGGGAGGGAATGGGTATTTTGCAGTATCCTTCCCCTGGAGTGGGGAGAGAATGGAGATTTTGCACTATCCTTCCCCTGGAGTGGGTGGAATGGAGATTTTGCAGTATCCTTCCCTGGAGTGGGGAGAGAATGGAGATTTTGCAGTATCCTTCCCCTGGAGTGGGGAGAGAATGGAGATTTTGCACTATCCTTCCCCTGGAGTGGGGTGGGAATGGAGATTTTGCAGTATCCTTCCCTGCCACGTCCACCAAGCCACACCCACCAAGGCATTCCCACAGAACCGGTAGTAAAAGAATTTGAATTCCACCACTGCTAAAGATGCGTTTCATGAACCAATTTTGAGGCGGAAAAAGGAAAAAAAAAATAGCCGGGCTAGCGAGTTTTCTGATGTCATTGAAATTCAAAAAAGTTTTAGACTTTAACTGCAAACCAATCAACAACTCGTTCATTTGAAATCCAGAACACGTTTTTTTTTTTAAAAAAATATTATTAGTAGTATTATTTCACTCAAAGCAGAGAATTTAGTCTAATGGAAAATTGTGATCTGCAGTTCATTTGCAAGTAAGCCTTTGCATTTTTCTTTTACCAGGAGAGTGCTCCGTCTCCGGCCAATCCCATTTCAAAAGCTTTGACAACAAACATTTCACCTTCAGCGGAATCTGCCATTACTTGTTTGCTGGAGATTGTGAGGGGAACTCCTTTTCTGTCTTCATTGAGACCGTCCAAGTAAGAAAATATTTGTTGAAAGAGAAAAAGGTGGTGGAAAAAAATGTGGGTACTAGAGAATAGGTCTCTGACAGAAGAGAATATTTGTAACTCAGGGCTGGCATTGAAGATGTAACCTAGTTTGGTAATGAAACGTCTTCGAGAAAACAACCAAGTTCAGACATTACCAAGGACCCCAAAGAATAAATCTCATATCTTCATATACTCCCCGCAATCCCACCCCCTAACCCTTCCCAAAGTTACAGCTCATTGTAAGGTTTAAGGCAAGAAGACACATTAAATTATTAAATATTATTATTTAATAATTATATTATATCAAAAAAACCTATTAAATATTTGAAGATCCTCATTTTAAGAGCATTTCAGGAAGCTGCGTGTATTCTTTATTTAAATCAGAGCAGCATTTCATTTGTGTCCTAGTCCCACGCAAAATGTGGCTTTCATTGGGCAGTAAACATGGAATATGTGTGTCAGAACTGCCCCAGTCTGATCTCTTAGGAAAGAAAGACCCTCGACTCCATTTGGTTGAAGCGATAGGTTCTTTTACTAAAAGATGTTGGTTGCAGTAGAGTCAGGCGAGAACTAAATTTCCCACGCTCAAAAGATACAGAAAGTTTCCCCACATCCCAGCCCTCCCTCCATGACCACTCCGTCTTCAGCCAATAAGAGTCCATCTAGATGTTTTGAGAACATTGAGATGTGTAATTCTTTCTCAGGGTGCACGGGCTTGGCACAAACAGGTTCCGAGCTCTCTTGCTCTTCGTCAAGCTGTCATTCCCCTCTCCCCAATTTTCCCATCACGTACGCATGCAGGTAGATTGCCCATTTGTTCATCCCTCATGTTCCCCCCCTCCTCCCCTTTGATGGCAGGATGCCAGCAAGTCACCAACCCGAAGTCGGCAGACCTGACGATGTGTCAAAATCTGTCTCGCGGTAGGAGAGGCGTCAGGATAAAACTGTTTTGCATGCGTGCTGATGTACAGAATCAAAAAGGAGAACCCGCAACCCACAATTCTTCTGTTGCTTCTTTGGGAAGAGGCCCGCTGAAAGGGAAACGCCATCCTCTTTCAGAAACGGATTCAGAACCTCTGGGAACAGAAAATACTGTTTGTAGAATCAGGGAGCGTGAGAAAGCAGCAACGGAAGTCCCAGAAAGCGCAACGTTTTTTAGGGCTCACAACAATAGATTTCAATAGATTTCAAATAGGAAAGCAGAAGTGGTGAATCACTGCCTATGAACTGCTTAAGGAAATACATTATGCACTGAAGGTTGCTGAGCAAGCACGATAGCATTGAGATTAATAAAATAAACTGAGTTGGAAAGGACCTTGGAGGCCATCTAGTCCAACCCCCTACGGAAGGACCGCCTTCTGCTGCCGAAAGCCTCCCACCGACCAGTACGCTCCCACAGAGAGGGACTCCTCAGGGTGCCGTCAGCCTGGCGACCCCCAGGGGGAGGGCCTTCTCTGTGGCAGCTCCTGCCCTCTGGAACGATTTGCCCCCGGAGATACGAAGGATATCGGATCTCTGGGCCTTTCGCCGTGCCCTAAAAACTGTTCTTTTCCATCAAGCAGGGCTGGCATGAACCCCTCCAAACCTTTTTAGTCTTTTTTAGCTTTTTAAATTGTCAAATGGGTTTTAGTTTTTCAATGTTTTAAATTTGGGGGCCACAGTTATTTAATTCTTTTAATAATTTTAAATTTTGTATTGATATGTGTTTTAGTTCTGGCTGTGCATCGCCCTGAGTCCACTAGGAGAAGGGCGGGATATAAATTGAATTAAATAAATAAATAAATAAATAAATAAATAAATAAATAAATAAATAAATAAATAAATAAATAAATAAATACTCATGCAGGAAACCAGGGGTGGGTTCTACTTACCATTACTACCGGTTCACATCGGGAGCACGCCCATGCTTCTGTGCATGTGCAGATCACCTATGATGACGCCCGGGTCAGTGGGCGGAGCCTCCTGCCAGTTTTACTACCGGTTCTTGCGAACCGGTCCAAACCGGGAGCAACTCACCACTGCAGGAAACCCTATACCACTTCAGACAAACGGTTGTTCAATCTCTTCTTAAAAACCTCCAGTGTTAGAGCACCCACGACTTCTGGAGACAAGCTGTTCCACCAATTAATTAAGATTAATTTCACTTAGCAGCAGCTGAGCTCTTTTGCTCTACTGTGAAATAAAGTTATGAGCAGGATAAGTACAGTATTGTTTAATAAGCGTCACAACTTTTGGAAAACGAGTTAGCCACAAGGCGCATTGTGTTGTTACCAATCTGGTAGCTCTTGGATGTCTGACAGTTCAGACAGCAGCTAAGAGAACTAATCATCCAGTACGACAATAGATATAAACATCTGGAAAACATCCTGTTGGGAAGGCTGGTGTATTCACATCTGCAAATGAACGATGTCATTTAAAAGTGTGTTACACCGAAGCGTTCATTCAATTTATGCTTCATCTTTCCACATTTGTCCCCCTCATCGTGCCCATGTTGTCAAGGCTCCCTGCAAAATTTAAAATTCAAAATAAGAGGATTAATTAAAATTCAGGTTGACATTGAAGGGACGCGGTGGCTCAGTGGCTAAGACGCTGAGCTTGTCGATCGAAAGGTCGGCAGTTCAGCGGTTCGAATCCCTAGTGCCACATAACGGGGTGAGCTCCCGTTATTTGTCCCAGCTTCTGCCAACCTAGCAGTTCGAAAAACAAAGGTTGATGAGGCCGAAGGACTGTTAATGAAGAATTTGTTTTGGATTTAATTTGGACTAAGCTGAGAATGAAGTAATTCTCAGCTGTTCTAATAAAATATGTTTGTTTAGGACTGATTGTGTCTGGTAATAACTACTTGGGCCTAGGTCATAACAGTAGGATAGCCTGTGAGGGCCATCGTTTTATTTTGGTGGGATGCATGGATCTGTTTGGATTTCCCTTCCCACATCCCAGGAGTTATAATTGGTTCGTGAGATTGATAAAATCACAGAACCACTATTCTTTCAGGAAAGCGAATGGGTGTTATGGCCATTTCCATCAATGACTGAAATCTGCCCACTGCCTCTAGTGCAAAGTGGCTCTTTATACATAATCAATATGAATATTACATGACAAATGGCCAAGTCAAGGGTGTTCACGGGAACACCTAAGTCCCACAGCCCTGTCTTAAGCCTAAAGGTATTTACCCGTGTAGTAACTGTATTGCTATTATCCTCCCCATATTTCTCAACTTCTCATTTCTCATCTTTGTTCATCTTCTTATCTTTCCCACTATCTTATGATTATAATTACAGTTTATGACCTATCACTTTGTTGTTTGTATGTACACTGAGAGCTTAGGCACCGAGACAATTCCCTTGTGTGTCCAATCACACTTGGCCAATAAAAAACTACTGTGCTCTACTCTACCTCTACCTCTACCTCTACCTCTACCTCTACCTCTACCTCTACCTCTACCTCTACCTCTACCTCTACCTCTACCTCTACCTCTACTCTACTCCCATTCCATTCCATTCCTACTCTACTCTACTCTACTCTACTCTACTCTACTCTACTCTACTCTACTCTACTCTACTCTACTCTACTCTACTCTACTCTACTCTACTCCCATTCCATTCCATTCCATTCCAACTCTACTCTACTCTACTCTACTCTACTCTACTCTACTCTACTCTACTCTACTCCCATTCCATTCCTACTCTACTCTACTCACTCTACTCTACTCCCATTCCATTCCATTCCATTCCATTCCATTCCATTCCATTCCATTCCATTCCATTCCTACTCTACTCTACTCTATCTACTCTACTCTACCTTACCTCTACCTCTACTCTACTCCCATTCCATTCCATTCCATTCCATTCCTACTCTACTCAACTCTACTCTACTCTACTCTACTCTACTCTACTTTTGCCACTGATCTAATGAAGTCATAACTAAGCTGAAATTTCCTTTTTGATGTCTCCCTAGTGTGCCGATGATCGTGATGCTGTGTGTACCCGCTCAGTCTCCGTGCAACTCCAGGATGAGAACCTCACTATTAAATTGAAACATGGCGGTGGTGTGTCTGTGAACGGGCAGGACGTTCAGATTCCCTTCATACAAAGTACGCCGTCTTCTTGTTAATGTCATCTTCTGCATTTCCAGGAGGAAGAACCTCCAGCTCAAGTTTGCTTACAGCAGGGCTGGGGAACGATGGCCCTTTTATGTCTTGTGGATTTCAACTCCCAGTTTCAATATCCCGGGGATACGTGATCACCAATTGGGACCTTCCAACAAGGAGTGTCAATGGGGAAAGCCAGATTTGCTTAAGGATCGTGTAATTCATTTAAGAACCTCGATGGTTCTCTTAACAAGTGTGGCAAATAAGATCACAAAATTGAGCACGACTCATTTAGTAGCCCCCTTCTGCTTAACAACAGAAATTATCATCTCAATTGTGGTCATACTTTGAGGACTACCTCAGGGGTGGGCTTCAAACATTTTAGCAAGGGGTTCTCTGCCTGGTTGCAGGGTGGGCGTGGCCTAGTCAGCCTCCTGCACCATGGCGGAGGGAGACGGATATTTTTGCCCTCCCTGGGCTCTGGATGCTTTCGTCGAGCCTCTGGGAGGGCGAAAACAGCCTCCCCAGTCTCCGGAGGCCAGAAATGGCCCATTTCCGGTCTTCCTGGACTTCCGGTAGGCCTGCTTTTCACCCTCCCTGAGTCTCCGCATGTGCTCTGCACTTATCTGCATCCAAAACGGACCATGTGGGGACTCCTGGGTGGGGCAGGGTGGGGTGGGCGGGGCCAGCCAGGAGTGGGATTTGGGGGTTCTCCAAACTGCACAGAATCTTAGCTAGAGGTTCTCCCGAACCCCTGCGAGCTCCCAGCAGCCCCGCCCCTGGACTACCTGTAATGGGAATGTATTATTTATTTATTCGTTGCTTTCAAGATAGCGAGGTTCATGTTTAGAGCAGAGGTGATGGGAAATAATGGCTGAGGAATTCTGGGAGTTGAAGTCCACAAGTCTTAAAGTGGCCCAGGTTGGATATTCCTGGTCTGAGAGCTTATTTTGAAGCCCTGTTCTTCAATGTTCAATGGGAGAAGAAACTTCAGGAGGTTTTCGGCATCTTTGGAGACTTTAAATTTTGCTTTCAGGGATGGGCTAGCTAGTCTGTTCCCTTATCTATGTCTACCAGGATCTGGCACAACTAGAAACCTACATCAGAAGGTGAAATGGAAGTGTCTTTCCACTTAGGGAAAAAGGTTTAGGTTTCAAGAGAGGCAGGGCGACAGCAAAAACAGGGGAAATTGGACCTCCATAAAAAATAGTTACAGGGACGCAGTGGCTCAGTGGCTAAGACGCTGAGCTTGTCGATCGAAAGGTCGGCAGTTCAGCGGTTCGAATCCCTAGTGCTGCGTAACGGGGTGAGCTCCCGTGACTTGTCCCAGCTTCTGCCAATCTAGCAGTTCAAAAGCACGTAAAAAATGCAAGTAGGAAAATAGGGACCACCTTTGGTGGGAAGGTAACTGCGCTCCGTGCGCCTTTGGCCTTGAGTCATGCCGGCCACATGACCACGGAGACGTCTTTGGACAGTGCTGGCTCTTCGGCTTTGAAACAGAGATGAGCACCGCCCTCTAGAGTCGGAAACGACTAGCACGTATGTGCGAGGGGAACTTTTACCTTTTACCTAAAAAATAGCTTTTAAGAAAAGAGGTCATTTGCCTTGAGCATTTGAAAATCACATTCCAATCACCACTAATTGCCGTGAAGAACTATGGATTATGTGGCCAGACAAGGAACAATGGATGGAAACGGTTCAAGGAGAGATTCAACCTAGAATTAAGGAGAAATTTTTTTTGACAGTGAGAAACAATCAACCCATGGAACAGAAGTTGCCTTCAGAAGTTGTGGTGCTGAAGAGACTGTCTGAAATGGTATAGGGTTTCCTACTGGACTGTATGTCCTACAAAGTCCCTTCCAATTCTGTTTATTCGATTCGATTCGATTGGATTCGATTCGACTCTCTACGCTACTCTACGCTACTCTCTACGCTATGCTATGCTATGCTATGCTACTCTCTACGCTATGCTATGCTACTTTCTACGCTACACTCTACTCTACACTATGCTACACTACTCTACTCTACGCTATACTATGCTACTCTACTCTATGCTATGCTACTCTCTACTCTACACTATGCTATGCTACTCTCTACGCTACGCTACGCTACGCTACTCTCTACTCTATGCTATGCTATGCTACGCTACACTACTCTCTACTCTACCCTACGCTACGCTACTCTCTACGCTATGCTACTCTATACTACTCTCTACTCTACGCTATGCTATGCTACTCTCTACACTATGCTACTCTATGCTACTCTCTACTCTACGCTATGCTATGTTACTCTCTATGCTATGCTACACTACTCTCTTCTCTACGCTATGCTATGCTATGCTACTCTCTACTCTACCCTATGCTACGCTACTCTCTACGCTATGCTACGCTATGCTACGCTACGCTACACTATGCTACACTACGCTACGCTATTCTCTACTCTACTCTACTCTACTCTACTCTACTCTACTCTACTCTACTCTACTCTACTCTACTCTACTTTCAGGTGCAATTTAAATTAGGTTATATTCTGTCCTGGAAAGGCAGCCTAAATGTTTTCCTTACTTTCCAGCTGCTGCTTCTGGGGAAATCCAGATAACAAAAATACACACAAGCGCACCCCCACTGGTTCCTTTGTTATTTAACTGGAAGGGAGCTGTGAGTAAGGGATTTAGTCAACAGGTCCACCTACATTTCCTTACCAGAAGGGAAGGGAGGATTACAAAAGAACGGCGTGTGTGTTTTGACGTAACATGGCTCTCTTTAAGACCTTGAGGTGTCTTTCCGTAGATTGCTTCAATTTCAAACTGATTTAACCGTCACGGGTTGCTGCTTTGGGATCATGTGCAAACTATCTATCCTGTGCTTTGCTGGGGGAAACTTTTCTTTGAATTAGAGCAAAGTTACTTGCTATGTGAGGGCCAAGCAGAACCCTTAATTGTAGAGACACTTGGGTGTTTATTTTAATAGAATAACAGAATTGGAAGGAATCTTGGAGGCCTTCTAGTCCAACTCCGTGCTCAAACAGGAGAGCCTATACCAGTGATGGCTAACCCTTTTGCCATCGCATGCCAGGACGGTGGGGTGGGGTGGGGGATGTCACGCAAGCGTGTATGCGCTCACCGGAAGTTGGCAAATGGGCCGTTTCTGGCCTCCAGAGGGTCTCCGGGGGGTTGGGAAGGCCGTTTTCACCCTCCCCAGACTCCTAGAAAGGCTCTGGAGACTGGGGATAGCAAAAAACGGGCCTTCCCCACCACCCCCGAGGCCCTCTGGAGGCAGGAAACAGCCTGTTTCCCTACTTCTGAGCTGAGCTCGCATGCCCACTGATATGGCTATGTGTGCCACCTTTGGCACATGTGCCATAGGTTTGCCATCACGGCCCTATACCCGTAATGGCGAACCTATGGCACGCTTACGCGCACCTTCAAACACATGGCGATTTCATGTGTGCGGCTTCCAGTGCACCTTCTTGGGCAGCCGTGGTGAATAGAGTGGGTGAGGCGCGGAAATCAGCTGGGCTGTATGGGCGGGATGAGCAAGCCAGAGAGTGAGATATGGGGGGCGGACCCAGCCAGTGGTCGGAACTACCGGTTCCCGCGAACCGATCTGAACCGGCCGCAGCCCACCTCTGGCTCTGAAGCAGTGGTGAAATGTAAAATTTGTTGCTACCGGTTCTGTGGGCGTGGCTTGGTGGGCGTGGCATGGTGGAGGGGGTCATGTGGCTGGGTGGGCATGGCCAACTTTTTTTTTTTTACTTTTTTAAAGCATTTTTTTACTATACGTTCGGGTGAATAGGTAGTTTAAAAATGCTTTTAAAAAGTAAAGATTCTGACGATCACAGCTCTGCCGCACGATCGTCAGAATCTTTTTTTAAAAAACTTTTTTAAAGCATTTTCTACTACCAGTTCAGGCGAATAGGTAGTTTAAAAATGCTTTTAAAAAAGTAAAAAAAAAGTTCCGACGATCATAGCTGTGCCGCGCGATTGTCGGAACCTTTTTTTTTTTTTTTACTTTTTTAAAGCATTTTTACTACCTATTCGCCCGAACTGGTAGTTTATATCACTACTGTTTTGCCCGAACCGGAGCAAACCGGTAGCATTTCACCTCTGGCTCTGAAATCTGAAGTGTTTAATACTCCCCTATCTCACTTTATGTCCCTTGGAAAGAGAAAGTTTCTGTAGGATCGTCTTCGCTTCTTTAAAAAGGGAGGAGCAGCATCAGTTGGCTTGATTAATTTCTGCTGGGATGATCTGCAGAGGCCGATTTTGCCTGGTTGGTTAAAGAGAGTTGAGGAAGGGACCTTAACAATTACAGTTGATTGAAACAGGAGAAGAAGAAAAACTGCTTGTTCTTACAGAAGGAGCTGCAAACTGAGTTTCCTCTTTTTTTCCTCCTGAATGTAGGAATGGCGAAGGGGACACTCCTGGGGAAACCTCTTTTCTGCTCTACACAAGCATGCAAAACCTTGCTGGTTTCTTAGGAGGCTTCCAATGGAACCACAGCTTTTCCCCTCCTTTTTGTTGGAAGGATGAGCTTCCAGTGATCAAATGAGGTCATGCCAGTGGATCAGTCCTGGCTGCCTTTTCATAGAAGGGGCACAAGGGATGATTGTCTGAAAGGGGCAATTTATGCTGAGTTGCTGATGCTTGCTAAGGCGATCCCTTACGCCGTGCCCTTGTTTCTTCCAGATGCTCTCCACATCCAGCCTACGGTGCTGCCAGCTGTTCACCTCAGTTATAAGGAGAACGTGCACCTCGACTGGGATGGGATGGGGACTCTTGTAATGAAGGTATGGTTGACTTCCCCTTTTTCTTCTCATGTTTTCATATACCGTATTTTTCGGAGTATAAGACGCACCGGACTATAAGACGCACCTACCTTTTTTGGTGAGGAAAACAAGAAAAAGAAATCTGCCTCTGCCTCCCAGCAATTTTGCCTCCTTGCAGCAAACAGCCTGCTTTACTTTCATTTTCATTTTCAGCATAGCTTGATTAGCACAAGAAAAAAAAAAAATCTGCTCCCAGCAATTTACCTCCTTGCAGCAAGCAGCAGAGGCCCATGCAGCAATAGGCAACGGCAATCCCTGCAGCCTGAAACAGCTGAGAGTCGGGAGGCCGACAATCAACTTGTGCTAATTAGGCTGTGCTGAAGCTGAAACGAGCTGTTTCTTCTTGCTGCTTGCTTCAAGGAGGTAAATTGCTGGGAGGCAGAGGCCAAAGGGTGGGGGCCAGTGGTGGGTGGGGCTACATTTGGTGTATAAGAAGCACCTAAATTTTCACCTCCTTTTAGCGGGGAAAAAGGTACGTCTTATACTCCAAAAAATACGATATATTTTTTTTAAAGGCGGAAAGCCACATGGTTGTGGCTTGTTGGAAAATCTGACCGTTGCCCAATGCTTGGCATTTAAACACTGCGTCCACACTGCAGAACTGTTTATTTCCCAAATGTTTTTCTGTAAGGGACTGTCTCAGACTTGAGGGCACGTCTTTGGGACCTTTGGCTGGGTCCCAGTTGAGTCATTTCCCTGGAACTTTCTTGGACCAGAGAGAGGATGCAATTAGTTGACAGGATAACCCTGAATACACAAGGGCAATGTGTGTGTGTGTGTGTGTGTGTGTGTGTGTGGGTGGGTGGCTGGCACCGTGGTCAGCTGAGAGTCAGAAGGGGAGGCGTAATCAAGTCACATATGTCCAGATCTCTGGGATTCAAGATCTGGCTAGGAGGATCCCAGATTTAGCTGGCAGCAAGCAGATCCTCTCTTGGCTGCCTTCTAATAGCTCTATGACAGGGGTGTCTTCTACTCCAACTCCTTGCTCAAGTTGGAGACCCTATACCATTTCAGAAAAAAACACGATTGTCCAATCTCTTCTTAAAAGCCTCCAGTGATGGAGCACGCACAACTTCTGAAGGCAAGCTATTCCACTGGTTAATTGTTCTCACTGTCAGGAAATTTCTCCTTCTTTTTAGGTTGCTTTTCTCCTTGATTAGTTTCGATCCATTGCTTCCTGTCCTCAGTGCTTTGGACAATAGGTTGACCCCCTCTTCTTTGGGACAGCTCCTCAGATATTGGAGCACTGCTATCATCTCTCTAGTCCTTCTCTTCATTAGATTAGATATATCCAGTTCCTGCAACCGTTCTTCATATGTTTTAGCCTCTAGTCCCCTAATCATCTTTCTTGCTCTTCTCTGCACTCTTTTCAGGGTCTCTATATTTTTTAAATAATATGGGGACCAAACCTGGATGAAATATTCCAAAGATGGTCTTACTAAGGCATTGTAAAGCAGTACTAACTTTAATCTTGATATGATCCCTCTGTTGATAAAGCCTTGAGGTTTAATTGGCTTTTTCATGTATGAATAAGATGACAATTCAGATCTTTCATTGTGAAAAAAAAAAACATCCTTGTTTTGTACTGTTTTATTTATTATTAAAGACAAAAGTTCTTTGGGTACAAAAAACAATTTTGTGTTAATCCACAGCTCCCAGGGAGACAGGAAATAAATTTATTTGAAAGGTGGGAGTGCATGGAATAAGGTCATGTTGATTAAACCGCCTTTTTTTCTCATCTACGGCCTTAAATTGGATGCATGAAACAAGTTCCTATGCTGAAATATCTCAAGAGCTGGGAATATGTCAAATGTTTATTCCTGTGTTTGAAAAGATGAAGCCTCACTGTTGAGTCTCTTCATGAATCCATTTACGTAGGTTTTTTTGGCAATGCCACCAAAGTGCTTCCTTGTACTATACCTGGACTTGTTTTGCTGGTTTTCTAACCAAGGACCAAGGGTCGGCTGCTGAGGGTTCGTAGGGGTTCGGGAGAACCTCTAGCTACGATTCTGTGCAGTTCAGAGAACCCCCAAATCCCACTCCTGGCTGTCCCCACCTTGCCCCGCCACTCTCAGGAGTCCCCACGCTGGAGGTGGGTTCTACTTATCCTTACTACCGGTTCATAGCAGGGCCATGCGCGCGCGCACTCTTCTGCACATGCGCAGAAGCGTTTTGATAACATCGGGGGCGGTGGGTGGAGTCTCCTGCCAGTTTTACTACTGGTTTTATAGAACCGGTGTGAACAGGGGGCAACCCACCACTGCCCCACGCGACCCGTTTTGGATGCAGGTAAGTGCAGGGCACGAACAGAGGCTCAGGGCAGGCAAAAAAACAGGCCTCCTGGAAGTTTGGGAAGGCCAGAAACGGGCCCATTTCTGGCCTCCAGAGGGCCTCCAGAGCCTGGGGAGGCTGTTTTCGCCCTCCCAGAGGCTCAAGGAAAGCCTCCGGAGCTCGGGGAGGGCAAAAATGCCCCCCCACCATGGTGCAGGAGGCCAACTAGGCCACGCCCACCATGACCACACCCACCCAGCAACCGCGCAGAGAACCCCTTGCTAAAAACCCCTTGCCAAGGACTAATACACTGTCCAAATTGGCTTAATTTTTATACCTGGACAAGATTGACCAGTAGAATCCCTGATAAAAACATGGACGTGCTGGTACAGAAATGTTTGTATGACATACTGAACCTCAATAAATTGATCACATCTTGCCTTACGTTTGGGCAACTCCAGAAAGTTTGGTTAAGAGTAGTATATGATGCAAACATTAGAATGTTTGCATCATATAGGAGCCTGGATAGCTCAACAGACAGAGCACTGTAATTTAACACCAGCTGTCTGCAATTAAAATAACATCGAATCTCAACAGGCTCAAGGTTGACTCAGCCTTCCATCCTTTCTAAGGTAGGTAAATTGAGGACCCAGTTTGTGGGGGCAATAAGCTGACTTTGTATAAATATACAAAAGGATGAAGGCTATTGCTTAACGCATTGTAAGCCGCCCTGAGTCTCCGGAGAAGGGCGGCATATAAATCAAATTAAAAAAAAAATGTTGAGTTTAGAATTTCTTATGCTGTAGTTAAGAGTTTCACATGGACAGCATTTCTGACTATGCAAACGTTCTTTTTTCAGTTGCTGTAGAAAACATGGGATTGTGGATGAGGAATGGGGTAAAAAAATAACTGGCAAGATTGTGTTAGGCTATATTATATTATTATATTCACTTATAAAACCTCCAAGTTCTTCAAGCCCAAACCCCTGCAGAAGCAGGAAACCCTATACCATTTCAGACAAATGATTGTCCAATCTCTTCTTAAAATAAACAAGCAAACAAACAAACAAACAAACAAACAAACAAACCTTGGAGGTCTTCTAGTCCAACCCCCTGCTTAGGCAGGAAACCCTACACCACTTCAGACAAATGGTTATCCAACATCTTCTTAAAAACTTCCAGTGTTGGAGCATTCACAACTTCTGGAGGCAAGTTGTTCCACTGATTAATTGTTCTCACTGTCAGGAAATTTCTCCTTAGTTCTAAGTTGCTTCTCTCCTTGATTAGTTTCCACCCATTGCTTCTTGTCCTGCCCTCAGGTGCTTTGGAGAATAGCTTGACTCCCTCTCCTTTGTGGCAGCCCCTGAGATATTGGAAGACTGCTATCATGTCTCCCCTAGTCCTTCTTTTCATTAAACTAGACATACCAGGTTCCTGCAACTGCTCTTCGTAAGACATGTACTCCTATAAAGTCCATAATTATAACTTTAAATAAGAGTAGCACATTTTTGTTTCTGCAAGAAAACAAATCTGTGGGTGAGTTCTTACAATTCATCATTGCAGAAAAGTTTACCCAGGACATAAAACTTGAGAAACTCAAGCAGACTGTTTTAGCATTGCTCAGTTCTACAGAGGAATTATTGAGTCTGTCATCTGCACCTTTATTACTGTCTGGTTTGGTTCTGCAACCCAACAAGACAGACACAGACTTCAGAGGATAACTAGAACTGCAGAAAAAAACAATGGCTACCAACCTGCCTTCCGTTGAGGATCTGTATACTGCACGAGTCAAAAAGAGGGCTGTGAAAATATTTACAGACCCTTCGCATCCTGGACATAAACTGTTTCAACTCCTACCCTCAAAATGACACTATAGAGCACTGCACACCAGAACAACTAGACACAAGGACAGTTTTTCCCCGAATGCCATCACTCTGCTAAACAAATAATTCCCTCAACATTGTCAAACTAGTTACTAAGTCTGCACTACTATTAATCTTCTCATCTTCTCATCATTCCCATCATCCATCTCCTCCCACTTTTGACTGTATGACTGTAATCTTGTTGCTGGTATCCTTAAGATTTATATTGACTGTTTCCCTAGGACTGTCATTAAGTATTGTACCTTATGATTCTTGATGAATGTATCTTTTCTTTTATGTACACCGAGAGCGTATGCACCAAAGACAAATTCTTTGTGTGTCCAATCACACTTGGCCAATAAAGAATTCTATTCTATTCTATTCTATTCTATTCTATTCTATTCTATTCTATTCTATTCTATTCTATTCTATTCTATTCTATTCTATTCTATTCTATCCTATCCTATCCTATCCTATCCTATCCTATCCTATCCTATCCTACCCTACCCTACCCTACCCTACCCTACCCTACCCTACCCTACCCTACCCTACCCTACCCTACTCTACTCTTTCTATTCAAATTTCAACAACCAACTCAGAGGTGGTATTCAGCCGGTTCGGACCGGTTCACCCAAACAGGTAGCGGAAATCGCGAGTGGGCCCGCCCACCTGCCCCTGCTCTATGCCACCCTTTTTAGGCCTGTTTTTAAGGCTGGGCACATGCGCAGAAGACACGCGCGCCAGCAAAGCACTTGTGCGGAAGGCCAGGTGCATGCGTGAACCATGCCCTCACACACATTTGCAAACCGGTAGGGAAAGTAAGTGAGTA